GAGCTGACTCGTATCAAAAAGTATTTAGCAATGAGTTCAGGCTCACTGATTTTAAAGATAGATAAAATGAACGAAAGGGAAAAGGTTATGTGTGCTTAAAAGCATGTGGATATTTAACCTTCAATAAATGAATTACAATTTTGATGTTTATATAATCTGAAGAACATCAGTCACCTTTACACATAATTATTTTATGATAATTGTTCGATTTCTTTCATGATAAACTGCAATTTTAGACCTGACACGTATTAAAGAAGTATCGGACAATGTATTTAGGCCTACTGATTTTGAGGATAAATAAAATGAGCAAAAGAAGAAAAGGTCACGTGTGCGCAAAAGCGTGTCAGTATTTGGATTTGAAGAAATGAATTAAAGTTTTGACATTAATATTATTTGTGAAGCATCACCTTAACATAGAATTATTTTCATAATTTTTGCTTGATTCCTTCCATGAGAAAATGCAATTCTAGACCTGGCACGCGTATCAAAGAAGTATTTGGCAATTTCGTCCAGTCTCATATTGGTTTTCAAGGTAAATGAAATAAGCAAACTGGAAAAGGTCATGTGTGCGTAAATGCGTGTCAGTATTTAATTTTGAAGAAATGAATTCATTTTTTGACATTAATATTATTTGTGAAGCATCACCTTAACATAGAATTATTTTTATAATTTTTGCTTGATTCCTTCCATGAGAAAATGCAATTATAGACCTGGCACGCGTATCATAGAAGTATTTGGCAATTTCGTCCAGTCTCATATTGGTTTTCAAGGTAAATGAAATAAGCAAAACTGGAAAAGGTCATGTGTGCGTAAATGCGTGTCAGTATTTGGATTTGAAGAAATGAATTAAAGTTTTGACATTAATATTATTTGTGAAGCATCACCTTAACATAGAATTATTTTTATAATTTTTGCTTGGTTCCTTCCATGAGAAAATGCAATTATAGACCTGGCACGCGTATCAACGAAGTATTTGGCAATTGCGTCCAGTCTCATTGGTTTTCAAGGTCAATGAAATACTGTGCAAAACTGGAAAAGGTCATGTGTGCGTAAATGCGTGTCAGTATTTAATTTTGAAGAAATGAATTAATTTTTTTACATTAATATTATTTGTGAGGCATCACCTCTACGCAGAATTATTTTTATAATTTTTGCTTGATTCCTTCCATGAGAAAATGCAATTATAGACCTGGTACACGTATCAAGGTTGTATTTAGAAATTGAGTTTGGTCTCCTTGGTTTTCAAGGTAAATTATATGAGCAAAACTGAAAAAGGTGTGCTTAAAAGCGTGTGAGTATTTAATTTTTGATAATTTTTTTGACATTTTTGACATTTATTATATCTATGGGGAATCATCTTTACACAGAATTATTTTTCGATTCAAATTTAGTTCCTTTATTAGAAAGGCATGGCTAAGATTGGTTCTTATGTACAACTGTAATGAGATTTTTATGTTTGAATCGCACAAAAAGAGATAATGTCAAATGTGCGTTTTTTTTAAACTGAATTATGATTTTGACATTTTTATAAGCTTTAAACCATTGCCTTTCCACATATTTATTTATTTTAACATGAGAACTTTAAAAACGTTCATAACTGAACGGTCAATGTGAGTTGAATTAAAATAAAAAATATCAATTATCTGAGCATTTTCGTTACATTACGTCATACGGGATTTCGTGCTTTACGTGGGCTGAAAGTGGAAATGGCACGTGTGCAAAAACGTTTGTTATCAATTCATCTTTCAAAACACATTTTTATTTTTTACATATCTATGATCTATGATATATAACCTATGAAAAGAATTATTTTCAAATTAATTGCTAGGTTAATTCAATAAGCAATTCTGAGGTATATTTGAACTTTAATTCCATAGCAGATGTAATTCGGACAAAAGTTTTAAAATTCAAGAAGAGATTAAATCAATCAAAATAAATCTTATAATTCAAACAAGTCGACAATACTTGGTTCAGTTCTTTCATTTTCAATCATACCAAGGTGATAGATTAACATAAATGACCTTTCGAAAACAAACCATTTTTGTAGAAAATGAAAGAAAATCGCGTTATAACACGAGTAATTGTCAAGTTCACGTCTTAAGTTTGATGTGGTAAAAAGCATTCTTCATAAGTCACACATTTAAGTTAAGGGAAGCCAAGATCATTTTAAAAATGAAACATTTGAATAGATATTTTTAACATTGAAATAAGAAAGAAAGTAAGCTTATACTAGTAGATTTGCTAGAACTAGCTGTTTGGAATTCATCAACTTTTCTCCACAGGATCATTTCGTAGTACAAATGCAGGTCATTCAAAGGAAATATAGGTTTCAACATCCCCGTCTATGAATATTGATCTTTTTCAGACAGCAAAGGTAAGTTTAAAATAGAATTACTTCTTACGAATCCAAATTACATTTAAACTTAGAATTGTGATCTACGATCTTATGGGTATGTCATAAATTTGATTAGATACATTCACTCAGCAGGCCGTTAAACATGTAATTAACTTTACAAGCGTAACTATAGGCAACTTCGATTTTAGTATGTTCAAGTTCAAGTTCTGTAGTCTCGAGAGTCAAACGATTATCATAGTTTATTTGGTCTGCTTTTAGAATTGGGAAAACGAAGGCAAGGTTTATGTTTTATGAACATTCCGATTTGATAGCAAACTTTATTTTTGAGTGTATTAAATCAAATAAAGCTTATTGCGTCGGGACCTGTACGTCCGCCCAATTAAAAGCAAATGTGCCGTCAATTAAAGAAACATGCACAGTGGTACACCCTTTTTGGAAAACATAACACTGATAATAAAAATTCATCAATTGTTATGAAATTTGCACCATCATTAAAAAGAATCTCGAATTTCATGATGACAAAATATCGGATAAATATGACAAGAAATAAAAATTTGTTACATTTTTTCCCAAAAAGTTGTAAAATAAAAATAAACTAAAAAAATAATATTTTCACGACAAAAAATAAATAGGTCAACTGTATTGATTATACATGACGTTTTCAAAGAGTAGAGAGCTAGATTCAAAGCACCGTTCCTGCAAGTTTCAAATGAAAATATTAAAAACTGCGCGAGTAAGAGGACCGCAACTTTTTATGTCTACACTGACAAAAACTTGAAATTCCCGTTGTAAAGATATAGTCCATCGCGGAAGTGCACGTCATAAAGCTGGTGGGTTAAGGCAATGTGCCGTCCAACTGGTATGCAGCTTAGACCTAGTACCGCTCCAATGCCGCTCATATCCTTCTAAATTACTGGGCGGAATTGGAACGGTATTAAAATCTGTTAATACCGACTAGCCGGTACTAGAGTTATATTGCATCGGTGTTAAATCTTTTAATACCGACTAGTCGATACTAGAGTTATATTACAGCGGTGTTAACTTATATTTAATCTTGTTGATACAGACTGAGCGGTATAAGAGCGGTATTACGTTATAAAAAATTAGGACATCTATACTAGATCGGTGTTAAATTTCCCGCTCTTTTTAAACCAAAAGAAAATGGCTGACAAAGAATGTTCAACTGTAAGAGATTTGGGTAATTTCATGATTTTATAACAATAGTATGAAAATGACCAATCAAATATAGATTCAGAAGTTACTGACATACTTGAACATTCTGCATGTCTATTTTGTGAGGGGTAAAATGTAAGTATTGCTGTGTTATTCCAATTTAGATGGGCAAATCTTCTTTTCTTTGTGAATTTATCAAGGCCAAATTTAATTCTATTCATAATAGGCATACAGTCAAAGTGGTCAAGCATAAATGTGTTGTGTATGACCAATTGTACGGTATTTTATAAAGATTATGAAGATAAATACTGCTGGAGGCCTAGAGGGTCCTTCAATAACTGTGAGCCTTCTTGCCTTCAGGACAATTATCCAAAATGGTATTTAAATATGATATTGATTATGAAATGATTAATTTTAGAAGGATTTCATGTTTTATTCCCATTTCGTCCCTTCCCACTTCGCCCCTTCCCATTTTGCCCCTCATTTATTCCCATTTTGCACCTTTCCCAATTCGCCCTTTTCCCATCTCGCCCCTTCCCATTTTGCCCCTTTGCCATTTCACCCCTTTCCCGTGTTGCCTCCTTCCCATATCACCCCTTTCCCTTATCTCCCCTTCCTATTTCGCCCCTTCCCATGTCGCGAAGGGGGAATGAGGGGCGAAATGGGAAGGGGGCAGAATGTGACAGGGGCGAAATGGAAGAGGGGCAAAATGGGAAAGGGGCGAAATGGGAAAGGGCGAAATGGGTTGGGGCGAAATGGGAATAAATGATGGGCGAAATGGGAATAAATGATGGGCGAAATGGGAAGGGGCAAAGTTGGAAGGGGCGAAATGGGAAGACACCAGATTTCATCTGTATTTGATCAGTATTGGAGCTGTACTAGAGCGGTATTAAATATCCCTGTCCAATACCAATGAATCGGTATTTGATCGGTACTTGATCGGTATTGGAGTTTCACTAAAGCCATATTAAATAGCATAGTCCTATACCGGTGCATCGTTATTAGAGCTATTTAAGATCGGTACTAGGTCGGTATTTGGTAGGTATTTGGTTAAAGCTGATTGGCTGACAGGACTTCTAAATTAGCTCATTTGCATGATAAATTTTAGAAGGATTTCATCGGTATTAGTTCGGTATTAGACAACTACATTAGGTCGGTATAAGGTCGGCATTTAATATGCAACGTCCATTGGATTTTTTCACTTCAATTGGGTAGTCTACACGTTTGTGCCTGATATGAATTATATATGATGGAATCAATGTGCTTAGCAAACGTGTTTTAAAGACATCTTATTAGTAGCTTTAGTAAAAGCAAATATTATTCATCTGATTTATACCTTTTATGTGAAAATTCAATAACCATTGTGTTACAGTAGGTTTTAACTGGCATTTCACAAGGTCACTGGTTAAATTCTACGTATAGGACTAAAATTATATGTTGAAAAGGATAGTGCTATATCAAACAATTCACAATCAAATGCTACACTGGAAGAGTTTAAGGAAAATCATGAACACATACTCTTTAGAGATACACAGATTTATAATAGACTTTGGGAATGCTGGATACAGTATGAGAAATGGCTTCACAACTATATTGCACGCGAAGGAAACCATTCCAAGATATTATATTAGAACTTTGAAATGGGAGGAACGTCAAGTAAATCACATAAAAGCTCTTTAGCAATCCTTGAAAGAAAGCTTACTGAATCGGAAGAAGACACGTTAACAGACTTTGCAATTACTGGATATGAGAAATGTAAACTAAAGCTTAGCGACTCAGAAATCAAAGAACATCAGGAGGAGATTATATCCAAAGTAAGGAGACTGTGTGATAAACTTGGAGAACTTTATCCTGTGTTTGCAGTTGGTGATATTCTACCAAATGGAAGTTATTTCAATGGCAGCAAAATCATATACCCTGATGAATGCGACCTGCTGCTAGTATTTAAACATATTTCTGTAGGGAATGATGTATATATTAAATCAGATCTGAACAATCGTGTAAACGTGAAGATTTACAATAAAAGTCTGAAAAAACAAATCAAAGAAATAACACCATTGCTGTCATTGGGAGGAATAGTTGGTAAATACAAACTTACGTACCATATAAAATATTTACTCCAGAGTGCAATCCATACCTGTCTATCCCAACTGGAAGGTATTCACTACGTAGGGAAGAGGAGACTAGGACTAACCAGTAGTGAATGGGACTGCTTGAACAGATTGAGACTACTTCATCAGGAGGGGTCTACATCTTTATACAAAGACATTATAGAGAGTTACAAAATACCAGATAAGTTGAAAGATAGATGCAGGAATGGAACATATGACCCCAACTTATCTCCCGATACAGTTGAACTAGATAAATTGATACATGGACCATGTGTAAGAATAAGGCTCGGCGGTGGTAAATATACAACAGACATTGACCTTGGGTTCTGTATAGAAGACGGTAGGCATTTAATCCTACCATATAATGACGGAGATACATTTATGAATGATGAAACACAATGGACTCAGTCTGTCTATAACAGTAAACATAAACTTGACAAACAGCACAACAAGCTGCTGATGCTATTGAAACTCCTCATTCTTGAATGTCATCTAGTCCCTGATAGCTCCACTTACAGCTCACATGCACTGAAGACCCTTGTGCTACATCACCAGGCAAAATGTTCATCTAGTGAGCGATCACTGGGAGGTTGCCTTTGTATTGTAGCTCACCATGTATTTGAATTCTATGAGATGAAGGAGGAGGATCAATACTTGTGGATATATGACAGTGAGAAGAAACTGTCAGATGTTGATTTTCCAGGGGCCGCTGATGTACAAACAGGAAGAGCTTTTGGACGCAGGACTGAGAATTACTGGATAATGCCAGTAGTTCTCTATGTCGTGATACGTGCACTGAGATCTGGCTGCTGTACAGGAGAGGAGGCTCTAAATGTGGACAGATGGTTAATCATATCTGAACTGTGGAAAAACAAGGAAAAGAGTGGTTTTGTTAAGGAATATTCTAGGAAGTGCAAGATACAAAGCCAAAAAATTGATGAATTAATAACCAGATTTTATAGCAAGTAACACTTGGTCTCACAATAAAATGGCGTTTTGACACACATTAATTAACCATTGTTTAGAATAGGTAATTCCTTCGAGGGTTTTAAAGATATCCATTATGGGTGACCAAAATGAAGCTCAAAGCAATGGATCGCATGAGTTTTCCCCATGGGAAAATAACATGGGAATATTGTTTTTCCACTTTATCTAAAACTGAATATATATTATTACTTATTTCCTATAAAGGGATTTACTTTGTCTCAAAACGCAACATATTAAATTGATGCAACAAAAATTGAAAAAGCAGAGGTGGAAGGGGTTGAAATGAGGACAACATTTCATAAACATATCAAATATGAATGAAATCGCTCTATACAACTTTTTCAGATACAGCAAAAAATCATAAAATACCGTGTAATGGCCACTATTTTCAAGATATGGACGCCATGTGTTTTTTAATTTCGTTTTTCAATTTAATTTCCTATATATTTTTTTGTATTAAAACATATTAATATTGAACTTTAATATGTTATGTCTAGAGAACAGTAAAACTGACACTAAAATGGTGGCCACATGAGGTACATCATTACATCAATCTTAAAAATTTGACTCCAAATAGAGTATCCTTGAGCCTATGGCATGGGAGGTGCCATAGTGTGTGCCATGGTGTCATGCCACGTTTTGTACTACCACACAGGTTTATAAAACCTTGGTACCGTCACTACCGTGCCATGGCACGGAATCATGACAAAGGCTATCTTGTGTCTTAAGTACAGTAAAAGTGACACTGAAATTGCGGACATTTCGAAATGGCCGCCATTTCGGCCATTCTGAAATTTGGCTTTTGAGCAAAACTTGTACTTGCATGAGGCATATAAATCTGCAAGAATTTGACTCAAAATAGTGTCCTAGAGCCTATGCCATGGGGTATGCCATGGCACTGTGCCATGGTACTGTGCCATGTTTTTACTAACCCCCACATCATGCATGCAATGGTACAAGGAGAACAAACGCAAGAGAAAACGTTTGACCCTGTTTCCTCGGAAATGTATTCATACATAGGCATGAAATGAAAGGATGATAAACAGATTTGCAGTGCTTACAAACACATATCTATACATCATGTAGTATATATCTAAACATAGCTTTGATTTAATTTCAAAGATAACCAAAATAAAAAAAAAACTGGCACATCTCTGGTCGATCTAGAAACTCACCCTTTATTCGCTTGGTCTGGAGGTACATTTAACTCAGAAAGACAAACACATGAATTAACAAATAACAAAAAAAGTCTGAAAGAGACGCATTTCTGACGCAGAAAGACACACAAATGAATTAACAAATAACAAAAAGCCTCTATAATGTTCTTTATCTGATCTACTCTGACCCATTAAACCAAACTCAACAGAACCAATTGTTGAAATAAGCACCAGTTAGGCACAACGAGCACATTCAAACAATTAAGCACAAACAGATAAATGAGGTCCAGGGTCTTAACATACTGTATACATGTATACATTGTACATTGTTTAAGACTTGAAAAAAAAATTGCAGCTCAAATATTTAATTTGGCTATATAATTTCCACTTGATGATTCAATAAACTAAAATGGATGCTAGGTTCTACATGAACACGTTCTTTAGTTTACAATTTTACAGGTTTTTAAATGTTAGTCGGTAAAAAGTTGTCTAGAAGTCTTGGAGCGTTTTGAAAAACTGGGTAACTTTGTTATAATGGAGACGCATATTCGCGCTATTAGTTTTTTCAATGAGGATAGTCCTGATGTTGTTAACTTGAAATAAAACCATTTTTACTTTCTTCATTTTGGAATATATTAAGAACCCTTCGACCCTGCGACTGACTGGGTGTCAAGATTTTTGGGGAATATATTTTATTTAAAACCCTTCAACCTTTGATTTCCAAGTCCATTTTTCTAGTTTATACATTGTAACGGTTGCTTGATAAGACTTTGAATATTTTAACTTATCAATACTAACGTCATGTAAATAGAACAGCATTATAGAAACCTGTTATTGGAACAAGTTATAGAATTAGAATAGAGTTTGCAACCAATCAAAGCACTGCATCGAAGATTTGTACCGTCACTTAACATTTTTAAATTGGTAAAGTCACAGTCGCTTACACTGTAACCCCGACTGTGACGAAGTATTCATAGTTGGATTTTGGCAATAAAATAGCATTTTTACCTTATATACATCCTCCCTTTATTTAGTCACCCGAATAGTTTAACATGTTATAAATAAGGGTATCCTATCCGCAAGAGCCAGTATAGCTGGTTATCAATTCAAATCAGAAATAAAACTGGTATATCAGTGAATAACAATTGTACTAGTAGAAGCAGGTAAGTTATAACTCATTATATACATCTAGGGAAAATAATTAAACTACACGGATCGTTTTACATGTGCATATCACGTTCGCAAAGCAATAAGAAATTGACCGTCCATTGTACTCGTTAACATTTGTAACTCACAGGTAAGTGGATACTTGTTATATAAAGCTATCTAGTTTCGAAAATGTTCATTGGTTAGATTAAATTGCATACCTGCCAACCTCTCAGAGAAAAAAAACAGGAGTTTTTTAAAAAAAAACAGGAGAATCCAGGAGATATTTTGCAAAAAACAGGAGAAAAACAGGAGACTTTTACTGAAAAAACAGGAGAAAACAGGAGACTTCTTTTAAAAAACAGGAGAAAACAGGAGGTTTCTTTTAAAAAAACAAGTTACCATCTAAAAAACAGGAGATTTTCAGTCTAAACAGGAGATTTTCTTTGAAAACAGGAGAAAACAGGAGGTTTCTTTTAGAAAACAAGTTACCATCTAAAAAGCAGGAGAAAACAAGAGACTTCCAGTCTAAACAGGAGATTTTCTTTAAAAAACAGGAGAAAACAGGAGACTTCTTTTAAAAAACAGGAGAAAACAGGAGGTTTCTTTTAGAAAACAAGTAACCATCTAAAAAACAGGAGAAAACAGGAGATTTTCAGTTTAAACAGGAGATTTTCTTTAAAAACAGGAGAAAACAATTTATTTTAAAAGCATGAGAAAACAGATTATCTTTAAAAACAGGAGAAAGCAGAAAACTTCAAAGAAAACACATGTTCTTATAAAAAATACTCTATTTATGGCCAGAAAATACTAATGGTGAAAGATATGATGGTCCAAAATCACTTGCAATACCGGGTTGCAATATATAGGCCTACTCCACATGGCTAGGTCCAGGATCAAGGAGGATTGGCTCCCAGAATGCAACATCGATACTCTGTCGATATTCTTGATGTCATGATTGCAAAATTCGAATTCAAACAGCCGCTATTTTATTCACTTCAACATTTGTATCGTTAATTTTGGTCTTATTTTCAAACGAAAATGCAGTTTGAATTCGAATTTTGTAGTCACGACATAGGGAGTATCGGTATCGATGTTGCATCCTGGGAGCCAATCCTCCTTGGTCCAGGATGGAAAAACCAAAAAGCTTACCGTAAATGTGACTGATAAATCTCAATCTTTGACAAACTTCAATGGTAAAATCATTCAAACTTATTTAACATGATTTCTCTTAATGTATATACATGCTTAATCTTGGTAGGCTTACGCAATCGTGCATAAATAGACAAAATTATTCTTACCCCGTTTCACGGACATACTTGCGCAGATTCTTATCGCCTCCACTCAGGAGATTATCTACGTAATACGCATGCGCTAGGATCGTAATAAAGGATGGATTCGCTCTTACTGATTAAAATTGTTGCGCGTGCGCTAATTTCCTTGTTGTTGATTGAACATTTATATTAGATTAACTTTGTTTTTCATGATTAGATGTCGCTGGAGTTAATTGACTTATATAGATACTGGAGACGATCGATGAGTACTCGGATTCAAGTTAAAAATCGGGAGGTAGGAGGAAAAAACTGGAGGACACAGACAAAATCGGGGGATTTTTACCTAAAACATGCGAAGTTTTTTGTAGAAATCGGGGGAAATCGGGAGAAAAAATCGGGAGATGATGAAAAATTACAAAATTAGAAAATCGGGAGATGGCAAAATTGCGCAGGAGATGGGTTAAAAAAACAGGAATCTCCCGATTTAAATCGGGAGTTGGCAACTGTGAAATTGTTTACATTGAAGGATTCCTAAAAACTAACCCTATTTTTGTTTTAGAGCTTTCGAGACACAACTGGTCCCTTCATCAGCACTAATTACATGAACTTCTGCAAAATGAAAGGAAACTCGTCTCATTTGACCTTTGACCTTGCTGCGTCTATCAGGGATCTGTCAATTTTGAAACCCTGGTCCCTGTTCAGACTCGATTTGAGAATGTTGATTTTAATGGCTTCTTTGACTTTCCTAGCGAAACCCTTATTTTCTGTCCCTGAGATCTTGTAGTCCTTCCAGTCTATCGGGTGGCTCGTATTGTACGAATTCTCGGCTAAACCCGACATCAATTCCGCTCTTTTGATCTATTTGCAATTGGGCGTTTTGTGAATTCATCCACTTGACTAGCTGTCCAAGTATCATTAACGTACCGTTTCAACACTCTAGGAGGACATGGAGCTGTATCCAGAATAAACTCCAAACAAATTTAATGAGGTTAGTTTTGAAGAATCCTTCAATGTATATACATGTAGCTATCTAGAAGAAACTTATCAAGGTAGGATGTTAAATGTCGAAAATAATTCATGAATGAATATCGTTGCATATGCTAAATGATTAATCATGTATCCACGTATCAGAGTGGTCACAGGTGATCCACTCGATTACGCTGGTTACCGAAACGGTTCGTTTTGGTAATAAAATGTCGGAACATCGACGGGATAACTCCACAGAGGGCGCTAGTGAAAAGGTAGAAGTACAAAAAATCTAAATTTAAAATTGGGATGATGGTTGATTGAAATCAAGATTTATCAGTGCAATCACTAGTAAAAATGTACAGATTTTATATTTTATTTTGTTTATCTTGTGTGTATATAATTTTACAAAAAGTATGACGAAATGATTCGGTTCTCTTCAAATATTTGACTTTTTGTGACGGTGCTCTTGCGTTTGAAATCTATTGAAAATTGTTTAAAATTCGGATAGATGGCGGAAACAGCGGTCATATCTTTTTATTTCAATGGCCTTTCTATGCAAAAACATTTTCAGTTTTAAAGGGGACATATGGAGCTAACCCGTGATATACGGGGTTATGAACCGAAAATCCTCGGTTTTTCATAATAAATCCAAAGATTTCAATATTTTCCCATTGGATTACATTAGAGCATTTGTCTGTGGAATTGTCCCGAAGGTAAGATTTTTTTTCCATATTTCACACGTTGTAGGCAGAATTCCCATGACATTTTTAACACAAACGTGTATCAGTAGCATATGTCTAAGAAAATGACATATTTGCGAAAAATAGTTCAGAAGACAACAGAATCGTCGATTTAATTCCTCACTTAAGTTACATAAACGGTTTTTCGAAAAACAGTTAAGATCTGCACTTAACCCAAACCGTTTATTTTTCGAAAGATCTGCACTTAACCCAAACCGTTTATGTAACTTAAGTGAGATATTAAATCGACGATTCTGTTGTCTTCTGAGCTATTTTTTCGCAAACATGTACATTTTCTAAAACATATGATGCTGATAAAACGTGAAATAGGGAAGAAAGAAAAATCGTACCTTCGACGTTCCGACATTTTGTTACCAAAACGAACCGTTTCGGTAACCAGCGTAATCGAGCGGATCACCAGTGATATAGAAGTTCTAGTATCTTATACACAGTGTTGGGGGATTTTGAAGTACAGGAGATGAAGTTTATTATGTGTTGAAGCTACAGTACATTAAGGTTTCGGGTTTCCGATTGATATCTTTATTTGTGGGTCAGTTGGTTTTTAATGTAACAGTTCAATGCCAATCATAGTTCAAAAATTATTTATGGTTTTAATTCTTTTTAGGTGAAGCTACTCTTATATTTACTGAACAATAAAATGGCGGACAAAAACAACGTGTCAGAAACAAACGTAAGTGATTCTGCCCTGATCTGTATTAAGTGTTTCGTTCAGTGCTAAACGTTAAACTAAAAGTAGGCAATGAAGTGACGATATTGTTAGTTTTTATGTTCGAATCATAATATAGACCTCAGATCAGGTATTTTATTATGTAATAAACACCTTAGGTCTAGGCACAAAAGCTTTCAAAGTTTCGAACGACCGAAGGAAGTTCGGGGTACAGAAAAATATTGTTTTTGACGGTATTTATTCGTCGATGTAATACCTGTGCTATGGTCTCTAATTGTCTGTCTGTCTCGATATTCTGTATTGCCACTCGACTTCGTCTCGTTTCAATACATAATTTTTCGAGCAGAATATATCCTGTATTGCACTTCAAATCATTCAATTACTTATAGTAATGCATTCATTTTTTATTCCAGCCTCATGAACTTGATAAAGCCTGGGAGTGTGAAGACAATCCACACCAGGAACATGCCCTTTATGCATATGGAAAATATTGGCTTCTTCAATGAACAAATGAGAAACTATGGGGTACGTTCAACATACACTATCGACAGGTATCACGATTCAAGGGTGCACGGATTTAGGATTTCGAAAGCAGTGAATAAAAATTCGAGATGTTAAACGCAATAAGCACATTTTCTAAAAAAAATCAAAAGATTCTTTTCACTGACCTTTCCTAAGGTGCTACTTCTAGCTATTTTTCAGAGGCTAGAAAAAGTTATTTCATCATGTTTAGGGTCATTTTGACCATGTACATTGTCATCCTGGTCATGTAAAAGATATTTGAAACTAGTTGAACTGACTGGAGGTTAAAACAGAACTCTGTTATCTTAGTTCAAAAAGTTTTCAAAACATGCATGGTTTTGTCACTTCCAATTTTTTCACTTCCGGTTAAAGTATCACGAGAACTAACAAGGCCATAGACCACAGCCCGATCTACATTTTAGGACGGGGTAGGGCCTGTAAACCTATTTTTGTTTAATTTTATTTCAGGTGGACCCAAACTACCTCTTTGTAACTGTAGATTTGTTTGAAGGCCAAAATATACCTCAAGTTTTGATTGGCCTGCGTAATTTAGCGGACATTGTAAGTAGAGTTAATGTTATTGTAACCAAACAAAGTGATTCTTCGACACTGGGAGTGAAAGCCATTATAACTTCGCAAACGTGCAAACGAGAACTTCAAAGTCCGTCCTTGATAAAAAAAATTCCAATTTCAATGGTGAGAGTGTCAGCTTGAAAGATTGGGTTCATATACATTTTTAAGAGTAACAAAAGGCATAAATAAGTTCATAGTCGGGTAATATTAATTCCATTTATTAGTGTTAATTGTCACAGATTCTATTTTATTTTTTATTTTAGAAGTTTCTTATATATACTGCATCTTAAGAAAACATAAAAAGTTCAATAGAGACATGGGCAATTACAATTTAGACCACTTGTGGGATGAAGTTATATCGCCATGGCGATTAATTATTTTTTGACGTTGTTAAGGTTCAATGACTGGTAATTAGTGGATTTGATGTATTTCAAATGTTTCATTTTAAATTTAGTCATCATGGATTACTGTTCCACAGCTGGATGACTCTAGCTACAGTTATCTTCATTCAAGATGGTTGCCGAAATTCTTTCGTTTTCGATAAACTTCCAGCTAAACTAAGTTGAATCTTGATTCCAAATGCAAATGTTTCGCCATGCAAAGTAATAAAACTACGATTGCATTCAACCACAAATTAATGCCCAAACACCCGCAATGTTAGAGAATTTTAAAGAAAGGGGCTTCACTTAGAATGACAGTTAGAGTCATTCTAAGTGAAGCCATTTTCTTTAAAATTCTCCAGTATCGCGGTTGTTTGAGCATTTATTTGAGGTAATTAACCATTGTAGCTTTTTTAATTTGCATGGCGAAACATTTGGAATCCAGATTCAACTTAGTTTAGCTGAAATCGGAGGTTTATCGAAAACGAAAGAATTTCGGCAACCATCTTGAATGAAGTTAGAGTCATCCAGCTGTGGAACTGTAATAGAGGCAGTATGCATTTGAAACATCTAAAAAAATAAAATAAAAATACAGCCTGTGACAATGAACACTAATAAATGGCAATAATTTCAAATTGAAATAAGGGTTATTTTAAGTGAAGCATATGATTTCGGTACATAATTGTAATGGTTACCTTTAACATATGAATATTGTTTTTATTTCTATGCTCTTTATTTTGATAAAATAACAAATTGATTTAGTTTTGCAATATTTCGATTTATTCTTTATATCTTTTTCAAGCAACTGAAAATTGTTCCTTTAATTATGACATCATAGACTGAAACGATAGAACAAATAGACCATTGGGTTAATGTAAAAGGTATAGTTTGGAGATATTTATTGATAGAACAATAAAATGTGATACTTATTGATGATTGAATTTTCTTTATTACCTGAGATAATGGAATTTTTTCAATGTGACAACGTTGAAGTAGACAAATGGGTGTGGCATTTTATGCCAATATGGTGTTTTTGTTAGTTTTTTGTAAAAAATCAATTTCGATCGCTCATTACAAGCATAATGATATTTCCCCGGGGAATTTAATGACGTCACGAAAAGTACACTGACCCGGATGTTGCAATTCTACACATTTCAGAGCTAGGAAGTCGGCACATTAAAGTCATTATTTTAATCCTCGTCCGCTTAAAACTATTATGATTTTACATTCTTGATATTATTTTAAATGGGCAACAAGGACTGTAGAGAGAAAAATTGAAATTTTTTATTTAGTTTCTGAGCTATCAGGTCAATATTTGGCTTAACACCTTCTTTGACATACCTATTTTCTTAAAATGCATGGATAAACTATCGATTTCAGCATTAAGAAGTGTAAATTCAGTTCAAAGCTTCTATAAAGGGAGTCCCACTTATAGATTTTTAAGATCCACCACGTTTCAAAGGAATATCAGATGAAATAAAGTTCATCCGGGGGTTTCTTTGTAGATAACGAAAATTAATGTTAGTCTTGATGAAATATCCAAAGTTAAATATATTTTGACACTGGTCGATGATCGTTGAATGGCCCCCTTGTACTTTGACTCGCAAGCAAAAGGCACTTGATTGTTTGGTGTAAAGTTGCGACGTTTAAGATTTTAGAGATGGTAAATGTAAACAAGATACCATTCGAATTGTGAGAGCTAAGTTTGCTTAAATGTATATTTTCGTAAGAATAATATAAATTCTACTTTCAGGCTACGTCGAAAGGATTCGAACCAGAATTTAGCCTTTGAAATAGGGCCCAGGGAGAAGCAGCAAAATAATCAAACTTCACTAGAGAACAGTTTCACACTGGCGATAATGGAATTGGGTTACAAAAGGGACCAATATATATGATGATGAAGAACATTTTATGATGAAGTGTAAAAAATATCAAAATGAAAGATTATTACTTTGTAGTAACACATATTTTACATTTTAGAGTTAAGCATATATTATATGTAGTATATAGTAGTCTAGTCTTAAATCATATATATTCTTTTTGTGTACTACACTTTCTTGTACCTGGCCCTCAGGGGTGTGAATGTACTCAATAAATATTCTATATCACTCATTAAATTATCAATATCCACTCATGGATATAAATGATATTTTTCGATACCATAGGATATACTATATAATATCCATGAAATATGTAATGAATGGAAGGATTATTTTCAGCAGTAATTAGCAAATTCATCAAACTCCGATAAATATTACAACTGCTCTCTGGCACACGTTAGCGAACACAAACGTCGCATGGAAAGAAATTCCAATTCCAAAAGAAGACCCAATTACATTTCAAGAAATCAAGGCTGCCAGTAGTGGTGTCAATTAACCGCTTGAGCATTAACCGGTTAACCGGGGGTTTTTACCGGTTAAAGTCGGTTAACCGGCGGGAAATTTGAACTGATAATTTCAAATGAAATCTTCATTTTCGATCTTGAAAGTTGAAAAAAGTTGGAAAAATTATATCGGCGTTTATTTCTTACGTTCGTCAAGCTTTACTCTATTCTATGTAAGTAAGCGCGGGAAAGCAATGTGGCAGGGATTAAAGTTGCTGATTGGATGTTTGTAAGGAATTATCGGACCTATCACATGTATGAGTAGCTCACATGAAACTGACGCTTGAAAAACAAACAGATTAAAATGCAAAGTAAGCGCGGGAAAGCAATGTGGCAGGGATTAAAGTTGCTGATTGGATGTTTGTAAGGAGTTATGGGACTTATGACATGTATGAGTAGCTCACATGAAACTGACGCTTGAAAAACAAACAGATTAAAATGCAAAGTAAGCGCGGGAAAGCAATGTGGCAGGGATTAAAGTTGCTGATTGGATGTTTGTAAGGAGTAATAGGACTCATGACATGTATGAGTAGCTTACGTGAAACTGACACCATAAAACCAAACGGATAAGCATGCAAAATAAGCGCGGGAAATAACAGAATTATACACGGTCAACTAACCACCCATAAAAACACAGACCGGTCAAGGCATTATCGGCGGTTAACCGGTTAACCGGTTAATACTTGACACCTCTAGCTGCCAGTAATCAACTTAAACTTGAAAAAGCTTCAGGAATAGATAATGTATCTGCTGAACATATACGTCACGGAGGCACTACTTTAATAGAGATCATTAAACATTTATTTCGGCATATCATAAACAACGATACACCTACAAACTTTCACACTGGTATATTAATACCACTCTTGAAAGGAGGGAAAGGTGATCCCTCGGAAGAGGACAACAAACGAGCAATAACGCTTATGACGTCACTGAGGAACTTGTTCGATATCGTTACGTTTATTACAAATATTTGCAATACAATGCAATCTAGGGAGAGAGGCCTCTTTATAAATACATTTAACCCTATTAAAATGTGTACAACGTATTTTTATAACACTAATGGGCAGTGGGGTTAGATGACACCCTCTGGTGGAGTTGAAGACGTACGATAAAAAGTAATAAAGTAAACGTAATACTGTATCATGAATATGTATTAAGTTTTTAATGTGGGTCATGAGAACTCTCTATATTCATCTATAAGCTATGATGAAACAATCTTCCTGTATATAACCCCTTGAATATCAACGCCCCACCCATGCCCGTACAGGGGGGTGGGGGGGTGCTATTCATCCACCCCCTGACCAAAATTTTATTTCAAAATTAGGCAGTTTTTCATCATTGTGTTCACTTTTTAAGAAATTTTGGCCATTTTTGGGCGAATATTTTCAAAAGTGACCCCCCCCCCTGAAATGTTATCAAAAAGTTAAATCCCCTTGGAAAATCCTGGCTACGGGCCTGACGACCCACCATGTTAGATTCTTATTGTTAATTTCTGTGCCAATTGTTCTATATTACAGCATTAAATGGAGGTAGTAATAATTTCTTATACTTATCACATCTCTTCCTAAAAATTGCTCAATATGTCAAAATATTACCCGAGGTTAATAAAGGTGTCACTGAAGTGCATATTCTCATTTTATAAAATGAAACAAAATTCATGTCAAAATATCACGGAAGATTTATACAGATGTCACTTAAATGCAGGTTTTTATATTTTTGGAAAATAAGAATCGCATGTTTTTGTTGTGCTGCCATCTAACTCACATGAAATAATTTCTTACCATACATTTTGGGGAATAATATTCTTGCTGCACTGGACACAGGAAAGCTTATTGGCAAGGCTGCAGTTGCGAGTCACGTGTTAATCAGTCACATTTAAATACTTTTCATATGCCTTCATAATATTGTACCCTGGTGGATGAAGACCCCCCCCCCCGCTTTACATTAAACATTTCAGTCAACATATCCCTTAAACATTGGCACCGAAGTCAGTACTGATAGAATGTCTTATAAGGAACTACTGCCTTCTTACATAACAATCCAAAAGGTTTACTCTATTATGAGGTGCTTTCATGCAAGTTATGCCTTGGTCACATTTGCCCCGATCCATCGGCCGGCGCCCGGCCGATTGAGTGTTTTGTTCAATATAGTATTCAATTTTGAACAAAATACTCAATCGGCCGGGCGCCGTAGTGAAAATCGGAGCAAATGTGACCAAGGCATTACATGAATGATCATTTTAGCAGGACTATCGATGAGACACTGTTATTTGCATAGGTTCTTGGCCGATATAAAGATGGCAGCACCAACAGAATCCAGTATTATTTTTTTCCGAGAAACATCGATAAACACAGATCGATTACCATGCCATCTTTATTTAAAAATTATTTCTATCGCCCTTAGGCTATATACAATGATATATATGGTTATTTGAATGTCTAGTGGCTTGTTTGCAACAAAGCCCTCTTGTTAGGTTATGTCATTCATCCAGGCGTTCTAAGTTATAACACAGAGAGCCACAGAGATGTTAATTCTTACATAAAATCTTAGCTTCCCTACATGCTATTTCATATTACAATTCTTTACATTAAACAGGCAATGCGCCTATTTTTGAAGGAAAAAGGACAAAATATTATTTGAGACATGTCACTCACACAGTCAATCAAATATGATAAAAACTTTTATTTGGGATAATACTGATGTGAAAAAAAATTACTTGCATAGAAAAACAGCATTTGAAGTTCAGAGATGGAAAAAAGTGAATTACCACTTTTCACAAAGTGTATGTTTTAAATAACTCTTGGATTAAAAGATGGCGTATGCTTGAAA